AAGTCCCAACCCTTTTGTTATCATGTAAAAAAAAAAAATTACATTACTAACCGATACCAAGTACACAAAAAGATGGCGAACGGATCAGGTAATTCAGCTGTAGGAACATCGCATAAAGCAAGAAGGTCATCTGAAATATATTGTAGTTATAAATATAAAAAAAAACAAACTTGAATTAAAATACAATATATCACGTTACACTTTTGTGTTTGTTATATTTTAAATTGATCCTGATTTATTTGGCCACTTACGTATACTTGTTTATTTTAAGTCTAAGATGGTTTTAATGTTCTGTTCAGAACTTTATAATGGCAAGAAGCTAGGAAAAAAAAATATACTATAAAAATCTCAGTGTATCGATGCATTTCGATTTAAAACTTTAACAAGAAAACTAAAACAATGGACCTCCACCAAATCTGACGTGGTCATACCGCCTGACGTGGAAGTGGTTCCTGAACAAAATGTCTCTACAGTTTGCTGGCCGACGTGGTTTTTCCTAGGAAGTTGTCGTTCTTGTAATAGAATGTGACAATTACACAGAGCATCTAAAGGCAAGATGTATTCAGGTAGTTTTTTTCCCCGAAAGTATATAAGCTACAAAGTTAGCAAGAGCAAATGTAATCTCACCAGTTCTTCAAAGAGACATCCGGCAAACTGAGCAAGAGCAAATGTAATCTCACCAGTTCTTCAAAGAGACGTCCGGCAAAGTTAGCAAGAGCAAATGTAATCTCACCAGTTCTTCAAAGAGACGTCCGGCAAAGTTAGCAAGAGCAAATGTAATCTCACCAGTTCTTCAAAGAAACGTCCGGCAAACTGAGCAAGAGCAAATGTAATCTCACCCGTTTTAGAAATTGATTTCTTGCTTGACGAAATATGAATGAAAAGTTTTAAGTGCTAAAAGTTTAGTCCAGGGCTTCTCAATCGGTTGGAATGGGGTTGGGGCTCGAGCAGACAGGAGATGCAACGTGGAATTTCATCTGGGGGAAATGAAAAGTTATTATAAAACAAGGAGGGGGGCATTACCTTAAACTTAGTTTACAAATATTTATAAATGTTGTTGTATTTCAGCAGTGGCATATTTCTTTGTGTAATAAAGTCACACGTATAGTTTCTAGGCGCTTGACTGCACTTTGAAAACGAATAAAAATAAATTATACATATTTTTTTCTTCAAAATATTAAATATATAGTAATTATTTTTTAGGGAAATGCTACACATTGTAAAATATTTTGTAGTGGATGCCAGAGTTAGTAAAACGTTTTGAAGAGGATGCTAGACTTAGTTAAACAATTTGTACGGGATGCTAGACTTAGTAAAACAATAAGTAATGGATGTTAAACTTAGTAAAACAATTGGTAAAGGATGCTAGACTTGGTAAAAAAAATGTAGGGGATGCTAGACCTAAAACAATTTGAAAGGGATGCTAAACTTGCTTTAAAATCGGTAATGGATGCTAGACTTAGTACACAAATTCGTAAGGGGTGATATACTTAAATAGTTTGGGATCCACTGGTTTAGTATTTTAAAATTGCACATAAAATACTGTTGGCGGACATCTTGAGTGTTTGCACTAACACGTGCCAATAAATTTGTCGTAACTAAAATTAATGACCGATTTAAAAATTCATTGGACGTAGGTCCAAAACAACACATGAATACACCAGCACAGGACGCCGTTAATACCAGCTGGTGTTAACTACCAACATTGGGTGTAAATTAGATTTGTTCAATTTGAGTGTCTCCCTGTTTGATGTGTTTACTTGGTGCAGTGCGCACCCATGGCGCCACAGTTGACGCCATCGCCACGATAATATCTTTAACGTTTTTTTGGGGGGTGGAAAATCCGGTAATCCATGATCCACTCCGAGCGTCACAAACTAATGACTGATATTATGTATAACACACCAAACGTCACCCTTTTCTAACGGCAACCTATTCTAATGACACCCTATTCTAACGGCACCCTATTCTAACGACATCCTATTCTAATGGCACCCTATTCTAACGGCACCCTATTCTAACGACATCCTATTCTAATGGCACCCTATTCTAACGGCACCCTATTCTAATGACATCCTATTCTAATGGCACCCTATTCTAATGGCACCCTATTCTAATGACATCCTATTCTAATGGCACCCTATTCTAATGGCACCCTATTCTAATGACATCCTATTCTAATGGCACCCTATTCTAATAGCACCCTATTCTAATGGCACCCTATTCTAATGGCACCCTATTCTAATGGCACCCTGCTCTTTTATTTAGCTTAGATCTATTAAGAACCCGAGTGAAGCGAGCTCTGTCAAAATAGCAAATATTCATTTGTTCCTCACCCCCCGCCCCCCCTTTTTTTTGCAGCCTTAGGGACAGCAGAGATCATGGGGAAAAGCTGGACAGGTCGATACAAATGGTCTCAATTACAGCAGTTGAAGTTTTAGCACATGTATTTTATTTTCTCTTTTTTGACAGGTTTAATCTTTTAATACTAGAATAAATGACCCGATGTTATCGGGGTAATAATGGTAGGTCCTTTGCGATAATTTCTAACCACTGTTGCAAAAAAATCATCCAAATTCATAATTTTTCAAATGTAATGATATTTACGTTTTTAACATCATTCATTTTTAAGCAATATTTATCTGCTATATATGATACGCTTATCCTACACCCTTTCACGCTCCTAAACTACTCCCCCCCCCCTCTAAACATGACCTAAAATTACCCATCACTAATTATATCAATTTCATTACTAAAGAAGTTAATTGAGGGACAATTACTACGCTAGAGAAATACTTTAGATTTACCCTTTTTCGTGCCCTTGAACTACACATTTTTCTCAAAAAAAACAAAACAAAAAAAACTAATCTTAAATTTACGACAAAACTCTATACATGATATAAATATATTTTGTATTACAGGAATGCGATATTTATTTATATCTTCATTAAAAATTTAAACATATATTTTAATTTGCCTTTAAAAAAAAATTATACATTGTCAGATAATCGTAAAACAAAGAATTCTTTTATCGAACAAAAATCTCTCAACTTTTTTTCAAGCCTATATCAGATTTGATCTTCAAAAAAAAATAAATTAAATTGTTAATCTCATAAAAAATATATACCTCTTTATTATTTGCGAAGTAACAACAAAAATAAATTTTAATTAAAAAAACAACAACAACAACAACAACCTATTAACCCATCTTTATTTGGCAAAATTTAATTTCCAAGTGTGTAAAATGATTGGGTTTTGATATTCATGAATATACTTATATCAATGTACCCAAGATTTGTTAACGTTATTGATTCTCTTAATTGGTAAACATATGTTTCCCAAGAAGGTTAATTATTAATCAAATTAATTCCTTTATTTTGGGACGTATAAGAGAATTAACATGTTATTTTTTCACAAATGTAATACCATAGGAGTTAACTGTTGTTATCCACATAAGAACATACACATCTTATTTCCTACCTCCGACTTGTAAATACCCAAGAAAACTATTTATTTATCATATTCATTCCTTTATTTTGAGACGTATCTTGTACTGCCTTGAGCAAAATGAACATACACTTATTTGTACAAAGAGAATGCAACATCACTTTTTTCACAAATGTAATACCATAGGATTTAAATATATTGTCATGCACGTAAAAATGCACACATCCTATTTCCTACCTACGATATGAATATACACAAGAAGGTTTATTATTTATCCAATTCTTTACTTTATTTTGAGACGTATCTTGTGCTGCCTGGGGCAAAGTGACTAACCCCTCCCACACCCAGATTTAAATAAATTTAGAAAATCTTCCACTGGATTGTAGTCCCTTCCATACCCAAACTAACATATTTTGAACTTCATATGGTTCGTGATATTTGTATGAGGTATAAGTGGATTAGTCAATGCTATTTAGCTATGGAGTTGCACTGCACTGATTGACTTAAACCGCATTTTCTTATTAGAATTAAATTAAAGGTTAGTTTTTATTACGTTATAAATTTAATAAAAGTAAATTTTGGAATAAAAAAATTCAAAACTTGTTAAAAGTCAAAATATACAAAGCAAAAATGTGTGTGCGTTTTATTAACAATTTAAACAGCAATCAATTGTATTTATTTATTTTACTTTTAAGAAGGGAAAATATATTATCAGTTTTGTCACGTGCGGTTATTAAATTGAAAGAAACCTAGGAGTTTTGGCGAAATAGGCTATGGGCGCTATGACGTCATTTGCGTGATTATTTAGAAGCAATAATTTTAATTTTATTTCGCATTATAAACAATGCACTAAAAGACGCACTAAAAATGACTGATGCTTGGGTTTTCCCGATAAATGTGATTACGGCGTAATTCTTTGATCATGATTTTTTGAATTTTTATACTTTTTTCATAACTTTCAAACACATATAAAATGGTTAAAATAGTTTCTTAGTTGATACTTTAAATGTATTTGAAATTTATAATAAATCTGAATAATTTCTTTCCTTTTAATATCACGGTATCGTCATACAATACAAGTGTGCATAGCTCAACCATGACAGTCAAATGATTTGAAAGCAGAACAATGTCGCGTGCTCTTCTTCGAAAATACGCCCCCCCCCCGCCCCCAGCCATTTAAACTCCAAATAATAATGCGTTTTAAAGTGTACCAATGATCAATGATCTGTAAATATTAAGGCCCACAAGGTAAGAACCAAATGAGTGCTAGTGAAAGGCCTATTTAATACAATTACTGTTTAGAACAATGGTTAAATTTAAAGGAGCCAGAATGATCAATAATTCATTGATCGTGGGCTCTCAAAATAAAGAAGAAATAAAGAAGAAATAAAGAAGAAATAAAGAAGAAATAAAGAAGAAATAAAGAAGAAATAAAGAAGAAATAAAGAAGAAATAAAGAAGAAATAAAGAAGAAATAAAGAAGAAATAAAGAAGAAATAAAGAAGAAATAAAGAAGAAATAAAGAAGAAATAAAGAAGAAGAACTCAAGAAAGGACGCACATAGATTTTTTAAAAAAAAGAGAAAATATTGTTTATTGAAGCTTTAATTTAAACATAAATAAATGAAACACTTGTATGCAAGTGAGTACATATCAAGCGTGTCAATTTGTGGTTCCCAAAAAGAGGTCCTGTGTGACTTTTCTCTGTTGAATTATGCATTTAGTGGGATGTATATATATCTATCTATATATAGATCCTATTCAATATAATGGAATGATTTACTTTATCCAACTATATTTTAAATAATAAATGTTCAAGAAATAAAGTGTAGTATGTTGAAAATTGGACCTCTAAATTCTTTATAAATGTGAGCGAGACATAAACTTAACTGAAGTAAAATCCATGTTTGCCATAGTGTCAAGACTGCAAGTCTGTCTGACTGACGACTTAACGTAACACTAGTCCAATCATTAACATGGTTGTAATGCCAGAAGAATTTCATACCAGATTATTTTACCCTGCGTCACAGCATCAAAGGACTGAGAATCAACATCCAAACAAAAACGAGAACAAAATGTTGCCTGTTATGACTCGACACCACACACCGTGAACAAAAGCCAAAGTCAACACAAAGGCTTTAACAAAAGGACAGGAAAGACCTGGAGGTTAGTGGAGAAAATGTAAGCTATTTCGAAAATAGAAAATTATTCTTACTTTTTGATGAGCAAAAAACGCGAATTTGTAACGAAAACAATTGGTTTACCTACTTAGAGGATTTAACAACAAAAAATGTGTAATTAATTTTTAAAATGTCTTTTTCCCGTAAGTTTTCTTTTTTGTTTTTGAACAATCAAACATTTTTCCAATTTCCTCTCTAACACACCACGGCGTGGCTTGGGCCTTGGTAAGTCCTCGTGATGTAGCCAACCAGTCTTCATAAACCTTGCAGGCCAGACGGTATTTGGCTCTGAAATGAAATACAAACATTAAAATAAATCTCTAAATATTGAAGAACAAAACAAACAGAGACAAAAAACACTTTCACCATTTATTTTTTTTTCTAAACGGAGTATTTTTAAATCCTTCATGTTAACTTCACTATTGTTCGCAGCTGGCTGGCACTATCTTCGGACGTCTAATGGACCCACTTCCCGTCAACAAATCGAGCTGAAACTTGGCAAATAGGCTTTGTCGATGACACCACATTTATTCAAATTTTCAACCCCCAACCCCACAAAAATATTTTTTCCTGTTTTTAAAAGTGAATATAAATGAAATATGATGACACTGATTTCCCGAAATAAAATTCCCGATAACTGCGCTAAATAAGATTCGTTAAAAAATATCGCAAGTGCGTTTGGTGCGTAATATTTTCTATTGTGTTTCTGAAATGGTAATATTAATATTCGGTGTAAAAGTGGCTTTTAAACTGAGACCCCAACGCCTTATAGCTCAGCTGACGACGACCAACCGTCCACTTTAAGAATCCAGACAGAAACAGAGCACCCTCACTGTTGGGTACTGCATCCTTGCCTAAGCCAAGTTGGACCTTAAGGTGATTATAAATGAAAGTGGGTCCCGAATTACTCGCCTCGGCTTAAAGGGCCATTTATATTTAACATTCTCCCTAACACAGCAAGCAACACACCCCCAATTATTAAGGTCAGGTGCCGCGAACGTATGCCAAGAGAGAAAACCTTTGAGAGAGAGTAGCATATACATAATACCAAGTTATAGCCCCTTAAAATTATTGACAGTATGACAAAGGCACTACAACGTTTAGCTCAATACAGTACAGAATAAAAATGGCAATAACGCGAAAATGAATCTGCTTAACAACCTCAAGCTCCCGGTTCCAAACATCACCAAAACAAGTTCTCCGTGCCAAAAATCACCAAAACAAACGCTCCGTGCCAAAAATCACCAAAACAAACGCTCCGTGCCAAAATCACCAAAACAAGTTCTCCGTGCCAAACATCACCAAAAACAATTCTCCGTGCCAAACATCACCAAAACAAGTTCTCCGTGCCAAACATCACCAAAACAAGTTCTCCGTGCCAAACATCACCAAAACAAACGCTCCGTGCCAAACATCACCAAAACAAGTTCTCCGTGCCAAACATAACAAAACAAGTTCTCCGTGCCAAACATCACCAAAACAAGTTCTCCGTGCCAAACATCACCAAAACAAGTTCTCCGTGCCAAACATCACCAAAACAAGTTCTCCGTGCCAAACATCACCAAAACAAGTTCTCCGTGCCAAACATCACCAAAACAAGTTCTCCGTGCCAAATATCACCTAAACAAGTTCTTGAAGCCATGCAAAAGGTTTAGAGCATTTCTTAACTAAGATTGAATAGGTAGTTGACTGGCGCTGGGGTTTTCATGTGAAACCAAACTTTCTATCAAATAAAAACGGGAATTAATCTTCTCAACGTATATCTGTGTGTGTGTGTGTGTGTAAACAATATTGATATACCAGTGATATCATACTTGATTAGTTAAATGTTGTATATTTGAAGTGGATCGATCGTCGGCCATGGCGTAATTTTAAAGTAAAAGTTATCTTAAACGCGTCAGAGAATGTATGCAGTTATTTACTTTTCTTTTCAAGTCACCTTTTTGATACTTTTGGAAATAAAAATCTTAAAAAAATTATCACTTTTTTTTGGACAGTTATTTATGATAAATGTTATAATAATATTGGAAGAATATATTTTTAAAGGAAATAATTTGCGTTAATTTTATTGAAGGTCTGACTCCCATTAATAAAGATTTGCTTAAATGTGAGATATTGTGAAAGAGTAACCTTTAAAAAAATATTGCTAATAATTATTTATAATTTCAAACATACTTTATAACTAAATATAATATTTAATTGTTCTTACCTCTCTGTGGTGCAGGGGGATTTACAAAAATCCTTTTCCCGTTTCTTCAAATTTGTAAGGTTAAGGACTTTTGTCCTAAATGAGCTCCACATTGTTATACAGCGGCCCAGGTCCTTGGGTTGCACGGGAACATCTAAAGCTTCAACGACAGAAAGACAATGGTCGCAAGCGTGAACTTTTATCTTCTTTGGCGTCTTCGGAGGCTTGGGGCCCTGTGGATCTTTTCTCTTTCTTGATCCTTCTTGCTGGAATGTGTTGGAAGATTCTGGTGGAACAGCAGAAGACGTTGAAGGCAGTGGATTCTGTGGAGGAGAAGAACTGATGTTTTCAATTTGTTTTCTTATAAATAAATGTGGTACTCTTTGTGCTGACACTATTTTAAACTTAAGACGTTTACAGTTAAGAATTATACAGGAGAATTAAAAGCACAATTACAAATTAGAATTGTCATATGAACAGGCGAACAATAGTTTCGATCATTTATCATTAAAAACTGGTATTCGTAACTGATTATAGAATGTAAGAAGTAAGAAATATGTTGATTTTTTTTTACATTACTTACATTCCCATTTTCCTTGTTATCAGCATCAAACGCATCTGTTAATTAAGTAAGGGAAAAAAAAGAAAATAACATAAATTTTAATGTGTTAGTGATGAAATGAATTTACCCTGATGAGTTATATAGAAGAGCTATTGTAAATTCCAGTTTACATTGTATGGCAAATAATAATTTTTAAATGTGAAAAATAAATAAATATCGTTTCATTTTCTGATTATAAAATAAAATTTGTGGAAAAATTTAAAATTTGATTTTCCTTTTGGCTGTACGTTAAGATTGAAAGTTTTTAAAATTATATTATAATCTTTAAAAAAAATATATAAATATTGATGTAACACATTAAGAAATACACATGACGTTAAATCAGTTGTGATTAATTTAGCAGGTTCGAAAGTTTATTATTCATATTTGAAACGTAAAATCACACATTTAGCTCTGCCTTATTTATTTGTATCCCACATCGTCCCATTCATCTGACCCTACCTCCCCAACTAGTTGCATGACATCAAATATTAGCGCGTTCTTAATATACCGTATATAAAAGCGGCTTTGATTCTAGCTTTGTGACACATGTCTAAACATGGCTTTCAACAAGTACGTGATATTATTTTAAGGTACTTTTCCCCTCAAAAATGTATAAAAATTGGCAAAATTTAAAAATAAATTAAAAATAATTTAAAAATGGGCAAAATAAAAATAAAAAACCCATTAAATGTATTTGTATAAAACATGACTAGAGATTGGAAAAAAAAAAAACAACAACACAAAACACTTTCACCAATTTTGTTTATAAAAAAAACCTTTTATTCCGATCAGCTCATCTATCAAGTCCTTCTCAGATCCTGGAATCGACAGGAGTTCTATAATTATTTCAAACCAATTGCGTTTGCGCTTCAGTGCCTCAAGAATTTCTTCGTTGCCAAGAGTAGGATACTTTATATTTGTATTTTTGTCCAGGTTTGCCTAGGCGATAAATGAGCCAAATTATTTTCGCTACCCACGTTAATAATGAACAAGGATACTTAAAAATGTAAATAAAAATTAGTACCATGAACGTATCCTTACAGCAGTGGCTGTTACAGAAGTAGACATCGAAAATACTACAATGAAAAACTACATTCCTTTCAAAAAAAAAAAAAAAAAAAAAAAAAAAAAAAAAAAAAAAAAAAAAAAAAAAAAAAAAAAAAAAAAAAAAAAAAAAAAAAAAAAACAAAAAAAAAAAAAAAAAAAAAAAAAAAATAAACCAAGAAAATATCCTTTAAAAGGGGGGTGGTAAAAAAAAAAAAAAAAAAAAAAAAAAAAAAAAAAAAAAAAATCCCTTAAAAAAAAAAAAAAAAAAAAAAAAAAAAAAAAAAAAAAGAAAAAAACAACAAAAAAAAAAAAAAAAAAAAAAAAAAAAAAAAAAAAAAAAAAAAAAAAAAAAAAAAAAAAAAAAAAAAAAAAAAAAAAAAAAAAAAAAAAAGAAAAAAACAACAAAACAACAATATATTGTGTTGATATAAAGATGGCCCATAACAAATATATTCAAAACATTTGCTAAAGACAATAGTTCATTTTATTTACATAGAATGTGATAGGTATAAACAATGCATTATATATATACATAAATATATATATATACACACAGACGAATATTATTATAGAACTTATCTAGTATTTTATTTTGGCCATAAGTTAACTAAAAATTAAATGATTATTTGTTGGGGATAGATATGACATCTTGTTTTGCTTACCAACGTTTTAATAGAGAGCGCTGGTGGTTCCTTTCGTCGAAGGTTGTCTAAAAACTCCGCTGCATAGTTCCTCTCTTTGAATACACGCCCCACTCGCATAAAAAGTGTTTCGCCACCTCTGGAGCTGGGTCTAGGCCCAGGCATGGTGCCTTGTCACTTATGAATGGCTCTAGTTACAAAAAACAAAGAACTGAATGAAAACAGCACATCCAAATCATTATATGTTGTTCCACTAACCACTTATAAAGAACCGCATTGCTCTGTGATACCTCCGTTCGGCTTTAACACCATCAAGACTGGAGAATTGAATCAACAAATTTGAATGAAAATGTAATGCCACTTGGCCAAACATTTTTGTACTGAGGTATTTGGAAACCCTTTCGTCTCGTTAACAGCAGCAAGGATAGATAGCTTTCATTTGTCTTACACACTTGACCTACTTTTGTGTTCCTTCAGCGAGTTACACATTCACGTGTCTTTCATTCGCTCATGACATTAGTGTTACACGGATAGAACATGGCAATGAAAATCATAACTGTTTCTTTAATAAAATCTTAAAACATGTTTAATTTTTTTTATCCATGAATTAAAAGAAATTAAGTCATTGACTAGCATTGTAACAAGTTGTCGTAAAAAACGGGCCAAAGTTTTCTGAAGTATGTTCTGCTTTGCATTATATTTCTCTCTTTCTTCCACGGAGTTAGTCCCGATAATACTTTGTAAGATAATTTGGTAAATGAAAATCTTAGTAAATTGAGTACGTATAATGAACCTATTTAGTCTCCGTTATGTAAAAGTTGTTCACTTAAAAGAATAGTAATGAAGTAGTTTTGAGCCACAAGCTTTGACTTTCACTTTGACTTAATCATATTCAACAAGCCATCTTTTACTTTACCCCGTGTTTTCATTACCTTAAGCTCTACATAAATAGTATATATATATTTTCTATATGAGCAGTGTCTCGAGTGGACTAATTTAGAGTAATTAAAATCTCCCCCACTAAACTCAAAAACTAAACTTTGGATACACTTTTACACCGTTGACATTAAATCCTTTAGTAGCTAGATCTATCTTGGCGTAGTTGAAATCCCAAACGGTTGACTCACGTCTAGATTTTCATGAAATAAACATCATTATTAAACACACACTAGATAGTGTTAACTATTTCACCAAGATACTATTACAAGTTATGATGCTCACCAGGATTTTATGTCCTTTCGATTGTCACTTTGGCGTCAGGTTAATAAATAAATACCAATTAATTTTTGGAGATGGCGTTAGTCTCGTCAGCAGCGGGATATTTTAAAAAAATAATTCGCTTCCTGTCACGTGAATTTTCCTATCCATCCTGGCGGAATGCCGTGTTGACCTATTTTTTTCCGGGAAAATCGATGAAAGCGAAGCTGTTACAAATCAATACGTGCTCTAATCACTATTTTTCAAAGATGACAGCGAGGTACATGTCAGAGAAAGCCTTATTTATTCATACCCATGACAATTAACGTTGTGGTAATGTCAAACTTTATCGTCAGTCCGATGGGTCGAAGTTGATTCAAAGTTTAAATACTTTTGCATTTAGAGGTTTAATTTAAAAAGTAAGTATTAAAATATTGAGATGTAATAAAAATAGATGTTTCAAATCTGTGTTTCATTTCGAGTTATGATTGTTGAGTGTGACGTTTTAACCTAAAGTAAGTGAGTTCAGCTTGCTAGTGCCCTGCATATTTTAGCGCCCCCCCTCCCCGCAATCTTAGAGGTACTTAAATGACGTAATGCGTGGTACTAACGGGTAATTATAGACTGGAGTGGCCAGGCGGTCCAGTCCAAAAAAAAAAATTAAAAGCGGCCCTGACGTAATCCACATTTGTAAATATTATCTTGAGGCGGGTGCTAAGTTTACAGCGTAGGTCACAGATAACCTTACAATGCGACAGCCACAGAAGGTAAGATACCTAGAAAATTTACAACGAGACCAACCATTCATAACGTTAGGAGATCCAAATCGATGTATCACAGATCTAATGAAGTTATTGCATTACAGTCTGACGCGTATTTGTTTACACGTTCGTTACTAATCGTAAGAAATATTTTGTTTGTATCCTTTATGTTAGCTTCGCCTTTGTTCGCGTGTTTCTTGCTGGCTGTGTTGCTAAATCTTTGGGCGGCTAATTGACTCACTTCTCGTCAACCTGTCAAGCTGAAACTTGGCGCACGGACTCGTTTACCAATGACAACACATTCTTTCGAATTTTCAGCCCTACCCCCAGCCACCAAAAAAAAAAAATCAGTTTTTCCTGTCTCTCAAAGGGACGAAGAAAGAAATATGATGCCACTAATTTCACGAAATAAAATTCCTGATAGCAGCGCTAAATGAGATTCTTAAAAAAAATATCGCAAGTGTATACTAGTTTTTTTTAAAGAAATAATTTTAAAAATAATTCTGCGTCATAAAAGCAGGAGTGTCACTGGAATATTAAAATATAATAATGTAATAAAATGCAAAAAACGGATTTAAGGAAAAAATTGTGTTTTTAGTGGTTGTTTAATGAACTATTAAATTATTTCACATGAAATAGGTCTGACCTTATTAGTTTTACATATTAAAAAGCTTAGTTTTGAATGGATTATCAATTATTTATGCTATACATCCTATATAATTAAAAGAAATACTATTTAAGTAGTTCTGCATAATAAGACTGGAGTTTTGACGAAAAGTACAAACAGTAGAAATGAAGAAAAAAAAACCTTTGATATATAAGTTTCAAAATTTATTAAAATAAATACTTAATTATCTCACTAAGCGATAACTGTAGTCAAACATTTTATGAACAAACAAAATAAAATTAAAAATTGTAATTTGTTCATGTGGATGATATAATTTTGTTAAATTTTACTTAAAATGCATCACACAAATTATATATTTTTTTAAATCGCGGATTATATGTTATTTGTTAGCAACTGCTTTTAAACATATGGTTACTGAAGATAATTCTATAAAAAATTTTCAGCAAAATATAAATGAGTGCATTAAGATGACCATAGAATTACTTTAAATTTAAATTTTAAAAATATTTAAACTTAGCGTTTGTCTTTGATCTGACATTGGTTAAAATTAAAATGATTGAGTAAAATCTTGATGAGTTCGATGTTATTTCCCAGAGCTGTGCATCACCCTCTAATCTGATCTTTTTTTACTCCACAAATATGTCTTTAAATTTTTCCAATAATCCCCAACTAGCACAGGCTGACAAAGTACAATGCGCCTGAACTATCTTCACACACGCTTAACACATGCTGTTTGTGAAAGAACTTGTACTAGACCTTTGTTTCCCCAATAGCAAAATGTAAACAGGTAACATGTAACTTCAGCACAGGCTACGGGCAACGAAAACATACCATCTAGTAGTGTAGCTGTTATGCCTAAATTAATATAAAAGTAAATTATTGTACCATTTATGCATACAAAGCAGATTTTAAACTATTATTTTCTACTACTTTTACTTTTTGTAGGCTATTGTAGGTAACTCAAGGTTAGGTTTAAACTTACCAACCATGGTGGTCAAGGTAACAATGGGAACATGGTGAAACGTCTAACTTTACAATACCGTAAAAGGCTGAAGTCCAGGCTTGATGAAATATTTATTTATTTTTATTTATTTAGGCATTTTTATATAGCGCTTACCTTAAAGCTCTAAGCGCTTTACAATTATTAAAAACATGTAAACTAAGTAAAATAAAAATGAGACACTAGGATAGTAACTACTATACTATAGAAACAATTAAAATGGCTATAAAACGAGGACACTTTGGCACGTTTTGGCCTATACTACAGGAACAGAAAATGAGGCAGGGCAAGGAGGGTGCATCACAGGTCATAGACAACCTAAACAGATGGGTTTTAAGGGACTTTTTGAAGGTGGACGAAGTTTCACAATGACGGATATGGAAGGGGAGCTGGTTCCAGAACGTAGGCCCATGGAAGTAGAAGGAGCGTTCACCGATGCCAAGGTTGAAAAAGGAATAAATCATTCTGGTTCATTTATCTAAATATTTTGTGTGTCTCGTGCATTGCAACCAGAGTCTCTCACACATCTTTTGTTTGTCTCTCCTGCATTGCAACCAGAGTCACTCACACATCGTTTGTTTGTCTCTCCTGCATTGCAACAAGAGTCACGCACACATCTTTTGTTTGTCTCTCCTGCATTGCAACAAGAGTCACTCACACATCTTTTGTTTGTCTCTCCTGCATTGCAACCAGAGTCACTCACACATCTTTTGTTTGTCTCTCCTGCATTGCAACCAGAGTCACTCACACATCTTTTGTTTGTCTCTCCTGCATTGCAACCAGAGTCACTCACACATCTTTTGTTTGTCTCTCCTGCATTGCAACAAGAGTCACTCACACATCTTTTGTTTGTCTCTCCTGCATTGCAACAAAAGTCACTCACACATCTTTTGTTTGTCTCTCCTGCATTGCAACCAGAGTCACTCACACATCTTTTGTTTGTCTCTCCTGCATTGCAGCCAGAGTCACTCACACATCTATTTTTTTGTCTCTCCTGCATTGCAACAAGAGTCACTCACACATCTTTTGTTTGTCTCTCCTGCATTGCAACAAGAGTCACGCACACATCTTTTGTTTGTCTCTCCTGCATTGCAACAAGAGTCACTCACACATCTTTTGTTTGTCTCTCCTGCATTGCAACAAGAGTCACGCACACATCTTTTGTTTGTCTCTCCTGCATTGCAACCAGAGTCACTCACACATCTTTTGTTTGTCTCTCCTGCATTGCAACCAGAGTCACTCACGCATCTTTTGTTTGTCTCTCCTGCATTGCAACAAGAGTCACTCACACATCTTTTGTTTGTCTCTCCTGCATTGCAACCAGAGTCACTCACACATCTTTTGTTTGTCTCTCCTGCATTGCAACCAGAGTCACTCACACATCTTTTGTTTGTCTCTCCTGCATTGCAACCAGAGTCACTCACACATCTTTTGTTTGTCTCTCCTGCATTGCAACCAGAGTCACTCACACATCTTTTGTTTGTCTCTCCTGCATTGCAACCAGAGTCACTCACACATCTTTTGTTTGTCTCTCCTGCATTGCAACCAGAGTCACTCACACATCTTTTGTTTGTCTCTCCTGCATTGCAACCAGAGTCACTCACACATCTTTTGTTTGTCTCTCCTGCATTGCAACCAGAGTCACTCACACATCTTTTGTTTGTCTCTCCTGCATTGCAACCAGAGTCACTCACACATCTTTTGTTTGTCTCTCCTGCATTGCAACCAGAGTCACTCACACATCTTTTGTTTGTCTCTCCTGCATTGCAACCAGAGTCACTCACACATCTTTTGTTTGTCTCTCCTGCATTGCAACCAGAGTCACTCACACATCTTTTGTTTGTCTCTCCTGCATTGCAACCAGAGTCACTCACACATCTTTTGTTTGTCTCTCCTGCATTGCAACCAGAGTCACTCACACATCTTTTGTTTGTCTCTCCTGCATTGCAACCAGAGTCACTCACACATCTTTTGTTTGTCTCTCCTGCATTGCAACCAGAGTCACTCACACATCTTTTGTTTGTCTCTCCTGCATTGCAACCAGAGTCACTCACACATCTTTTGTTTGTCTCTCCTGCATTGCAACCAGAGTCACTCACACATCTTTTGTTTGTCTCTCCTGCATTGCAACCAGAGTCACTCACACATCTTTTGTTTGTCTCTCCTGCATTGCAACCAGAGTCACTCACACATCTTTTGTTTGTCTCTCCTGCATTGCAACCAGAGTCACTCACACATCTTTTGTTTGTCTCTCCTGCATTGCAACCAGAGTCACTCACACATCTTTTGTTTGTCTCTCCTGCATTGCAACAAGAGTCACGCACACATCTTTTGTTTGTCTCTCCTGCATTGCAACCAGAGTCACTCACACATCTTTTGTGTGCCTCTAGTGCATTGCAAACAGAGACACCGTTAAAACGTTTATTGGGAAAACCCAAACATCAGTCGTTTTCAGTGCGTTTTTAGCGCGTTGTTAATATTGCAAAATAAAATAAAATTTAATTTGTTCTAAATATTCACTCATATGACGTCATAGCGCTAATTGCCTATTTTAGCCGAAGCTAAAAATTCTCTGATTTAATAACCGCGCGTGACAAAACTGATATTTAACCTTCTTAGGTACATATATATCGGTGGTAGGAAATAGTGTGTGTAAATCTTTGGGTGGATGACAATATCTTTCAATAAAATGATATTACAATTTTGAGAAAGAGATGTTTAATTCTCTTTTTACAAATA